AGGGGATACTTCGACGGCGTACAAACCCAGCACGCCGTCCACCGCACCAGCCATGTTAAAGGACATGGCGCCTACTGCTGCACATCGTCGTCGCCGACTTCGGCAAGGCGAACCTGGGCGACTGCGACGGAGCACCGGTTGAAGGCCGGAAATGTTGAAAATAGGAGGCTAAGTAAAGCCTAGGGTTTAGGCTTAGGAAAGTAGCGAGAGGAAATGCAAGCCAAAAGAGGGCTTCACTAATGAGAATAGAAAGTACAAATAGGTAAACAGCAACACAAGGAGGTGCACCACCAAACATGATGCAATATCTACACTACAACTGCAAACGATTATATAAAATATGTAAACATATTTTGACACGCCCCCATAATTGATTGCAGGAGTAAGTGTAAAACGCCCCCTGACGGGGTGCACCAGGAGTGCAGCGGAAGAAACAGAAGCAAGCAAGAGCAGTAGTAGCCGGTGCAGGAGTGGCAAATACAGCTGTAGCACGCCCTCAGCCAAGGCAGAAGCAGTAGCAGGTGTAGGGGCGGCAGGTCGCCTAAGGAGCAGGCTCTGTGGCTGCAACGTGCAGCAGGACAGTAGCGGCTCGACGGCAGCACCTGCAGGCCCCAGCAGCAGACAGCAGAAACAAGGGCAGGTGGCGGCAGGGGCGGCAGCAGAGGTGCCACGGTAGCAGCGGGTGGCAGCTGCAGATGCTTGACTGTTTTCCCGCCACCCTCTCTTACCCTCCCCCCCACAGCAGCACGAGCGGCATTGAGAGAGAAAGGAGGGGCGGCTGCTGGCTTTGCAGAATCTCTCTCGCCACCCTCTCACACTCCCCCCGTTTCCCCTCACCCTCCCCCCGCAACCTCTCCCCCCCCCTCACGGCGGACCCCGCTGAAGGGAGGGGTAGGACGGGCTGCAGGCAACTCACACCCGCCACCCCCACATCTCCCTCCCCCCACGGCGGAAGCTGCGGAAGGGAAGGGGGGGGCGGCGTTAGCTGCTGCTCACGCAGGTGCTGGCGACGGGCGCTGGTGCTGGCGCACACGGCCGTGCGCGGGTGCGCACGGTCGTACGTGGATGCGCGCAGCAATGCGCGCCCGTACGCAGCTGCGTACGACTGCTGCTGTGTTCGTGACAGAACAGGGCGGGGCAGGCGACGCGCGCGACGAGCAGGGCGCAACGGGCGTGACGGGGAGGGCGCCAAGGACGGGACGGACATGACGGACGAGACCGTTTCGACGGACGCGACCGTTGCAGCCGTCGTAACTACGGCCGCGACGGGGGGCGTGACGAGCGCCATGAGCGGGGGGATACGTGGTGGGCCCATGGGGAAAATAAAATAGGTCTTAGGACAACCTAGCTCTTAATACCATGTTGAAAATAGGAGGCTAAGTAAAGCCTAGGGTTTAGGCTTAGGAAAGTAGCGAGAGGAAATGCAAGCCAAAAGAGGGCTTCACTAATGAGAATAGAAAGTACAAATAGGTAAACAGCAACACAAGGAGGTGCACCACCAAACATGATGCAATATCTACACTACAACTGCAAACGATTATATAAAAATATGTAAACATATTTTGACAGGAAAGTGCAGAGCCTTTGTCAGAAAATCGGCTGGCTGCTCGGTGGTCGAGATGTACTGAGCGATCTTCCCGCGCTTCACCATCTGCTGCAGCCAGGCGTAGCGTCACTCCATATGATTGAGGTTGCCCTTGAGCCCCAAGCCATCTGCGTGGTCGACGAGAGCGTCGCGCATTTAATGCGCCAACTCGACCAGGAGACTGCGGCCCCTCCGAAGACGAACACGTATCCGCTCGTGCTCCTCTGATTCCGCCTGTCCCAGCGTCGTCAGCGTCTACATAGCCGACCAGACGCAGTGATTCTGGTCCGCCGCCGAAATCCAGAGCGGTGTCACGAGTGTCAGCGAGGTAGAGCAGACAACGGTCGACCTTACGCCAGTGGTTGTCGCTCCGCACAGCAGGCCGGATCCGAGCTTGCTGCAGGCAAAGGAAATGGCAGGCCTCGTCGTGGTGGCCGCGAACTGCAGCAAGCCGACCTTCGGCCAGTACTCTGCTTCCTCGCGCGACTGGTACTCCTTGTCGTCGAACATCAGCTCTGCGTAGGCGTCGACGGAGACCGGTGTCTTCGGCACTCGCCCGGTCTGCTCCTCGTCGATGAAACGCCGACGCAGCTTGTCGACGTAGGCTTGCTGGTGAAGCCACAGCTTCCGCGCCGGTCGGTCGCGCACGATTTCCAGCCCGAGATACTTCTCGACCAGGCTGATTTCGCGCAGCTCAAAAGCGGCCTCCAGCAGCTCCTTCAGCATCGTAGTGCTGCTTCTTGCGGCGAGCAGATCGTCGACGTAGACGAGCACCCAGCACGCCACTCCGTCGTCGCCGACCTTGAAGTACAGCGCCTCATCGACCTGGCTCTTCTTCCAGTCGGCGCCGGTCAGCACCGCGTCGAGCGCCGAGTACCACAGTAGCGGAAAACCCTTCAGGCCGTACAAGCTCTTCAACAGCTTGCAGACGTGGTCGGTGCCATCGTTGTAGTAGTCGTGCTGGTACATGTAGAGGACGCGATCCAGCTTACTCTGCAGAAACGCGTTCTTCAAGTGAAGCTGCATCAGATGCAGGTCGAGGACGGCGACAATGCTGAGGAAGATTCGCAGAGTGACGTAGCTCCCCACGGGTGCGTACGTTTCGTCGTAGTCTGCGCCGTAGACATGCATGAAGCCTTCCACGACCGGGCGGGCTTTCTCACTGGCGACCGTGTCGTCGATGTGGTACTTCGTCATCAAAACCCAGCGATTCCTCATGACATTAACGCCGCGCGGACGCTCGGCAAGCTCCCATGTGCCGTTAGATATGAGACTGAGGATCTCCTCGTCCATGGCGGCCTTCACCGCCTCGCCCTTCCAGCTCGCCAACGCCTCTTCCACCGTCATGTTGGCGATATCCCAACGGTGCTACGGGTCGGCATGCATGTCGGGGTCGACCTCGGGCAGATCGACATTGGCCTCTGCGTCGTCGAGTAGAGTGCTGTAGGAGGTCGGTGGCAGACAAGCGTGGTAGCTCAACTTCTTCGGCGGCTTGCCGATGTTGGAGCGGGTAGACCGTCGCGGTTTCGCCTCTTCGACCGGGACCTCCACCACGTCGATGTCGTCAGACTGCTCCCCTGTCGACATCTCATCTTCATCGCCGACGGCTGCACCGACGACTTCCACTACATCGCTCGACGAGTCATCGCCGAGCTGCTCCTCTGCCGGCAGCTTCTCTACCGCCCGCTCCCTCAGGGTCGACTTCTCTGCCGATGGGCTCCCCTGAAGGTGGCGCCTCTACCGACGGCTTCTCTTAAGTCAGCTTCATCGCCGACGGCTCCCTTGTCGTCTGCCGCTTTTCGTCGCTGACATTCTCAGCGTCACGTCGACCATCGGCGATGCAACCGGTCGGCGCAGCAGGCGACGCACCAAGTCTCCCCTCATCGCCGGCGGCCGACAAGGATGCCTTCGCAGGAAGGTCGACAACTGGCGGGGGAGGGGAGGGTCGCGGGAAGTCATCTGCATCCTCCTCATCAAGCTCGCCGTCTGCGGCGAGAAGTGGAGGGTGTACTGAGGAGGAATCGGTCAGGGGGGTAGAGGGCGTCCTCGTCGACACCGGTCTGTTCTCTGCCTTCCACTTCTCCATCGACAGAGTTTCGTAGGAGATCGCTTCGACCGTCGTGACGACTATGTTGTCAGTCAGGTCGAGCACCTCCCAGCCCTTGCTCTCTGGCGACACTTCGAGGTGAAGACCCCAACGGGCCTTCGGCGCCAACTTCCCGTCGCGCTGCTGCTCGGGGACCATGAACTGCACCATGCAGCCCCACACTCGTGCCAGCGTCAAATCCGGCTTCTTCTCGAACAGCAGCTCCTGCGGCGTCGTCCCTGAAGGCAGAGAAGCCCGTTTGAGGCAGTTGCGCACCCAGACGGCCTGTCGCAGAGCGAGGTGCCACCAGTGGTGCTTCACGCCCATGTGCAGAAGCATCGTTTGCACGGCCTCGACCACCATGCGCATCTCCCGCTCTGCCATCCCGTTCTGCTGCAAAGTGTAGGGGCACGTCAGATTGTGGATGATTCCCTTGTCCTCGACGAGGTCGGTGAAGGCTCGACCGAGGAACTCCCTTCCGAGGTTAGAACGTAGCATCTTCACCGTCGACAACGTCTGCCGCTCCACCACCTTCAACCACTTGTCGAAGACGACCAGCACGTCGCTTTTCTTCGCGATCGGCCTCACTCACACGTAGCGAGTCTTCCTGTCCTTCAATTGAAGAAAGTAGAGACTGCCATCTTTGGCGGCCACTCGAAACAGCCCGCAGAGGTCGACGTGCACCTCGTCGAGCGGATTCTTGGCGATGCACCACCGCTCCGAATTGCAAACTCGAACTACAAGACATCAAAAGATACCCAGGGGTTTAGCATTCCTGCGAGTAGCTTATCCTAGTAATTACGCTACCTCATGTCTCCTTCGGCTTTTCCTTTGCCCAACCAGCACCCAACGTCGAGATTCCTGATAGATATTTTTCTTTAATTATCACCTGATTACTTTCCGTACATCGCCAGTTCAGTTCATTTCGTCACAACTTCTCTATTCGTTAATTTCCGTGCACTCCTTTGGCAACTCATAATGCCATAACTTGAGTTGAATAGCAAGATGCTTCTGTAGATATGCATGCTATTCTCCGATCCCTTCTTGTCCGCAATTGGCGGTCTGTTGTTGGAGTTGGTTCTCTGCATAATTTGGGGGGGGTCACTCCAGCAATGTCGAGGGTCGCTCCATAATTGGCAATCTCGAGAGTCTCCTTCGAGAATTCAAGTGGGGGAAGATGACCAACCACACAGCAATTCTTTCTGGTCTTGAGTGATAGCGATTCCCCTGTAGTGTGCCATCGCCCGCAAGTCAAGGCACACCACCTGTTTGAGTCAGGCAGACGAGGCCCCATGAATCAAGCCAGCTCATTTTGAAACGGATGACATTATGGGCGACCCTAACACCGCCGCCTCACACGCAGAGGAGTCTGCTTCAGTTAGTTCCGCGATTCGTTAGTTCCTCGGTTCGCGGCGAAACCCGAGGCGCCTCGAAACATCGCTCGACACTATATTTTCGCTTGCATTTCCGCTCTTCACTATCACTTGTACCAGTCTCATCCGATAAGTTCAAATCGCAATATTACTGCTGGTATTTCAAGCCGAGATCCCTGTTAATACTACACCATGAAGGTGCTTCGCGCTTTCCTGCTGCTGCTCTGTGCGCTCGCCGCCGCCGCCGCACACCTGGCGTCCGTGGCGGAATTCAACCCCGCTCTTGCCACTCTTGCCGCAAACCCCGACGACATCCTTCTCGCCACGGGGAAGGCGCTCGCAGATAAGACAAGCGATGACGCGGATGTGCTTTTAACGAACCGCGCTCTTGCGGAGGAAGGCGAGGCGTCGGCCCATGATGGCGCTGTTCGTGTGCTAGCCGAGGACAACCTGCTCTCCCTGCTCGCGGAGGGCGCTGCGGATGCTGACGTGGCGGACACGCGCAGGAGCCTGAAGAAGAAGGGGAAGAAGTGCAAGAAGGGGAAGAAGGGCAAGAAATGCAAGAAGGGAAAGAAGGGGAAGAAGGGGAAGAAGGGCGAAAGCGCGGCAGCAACACCTGGTGGGGCCGCACCTGATGGGGCCGCACCTGGTGCAGAGCCCCCTGTCGACGCTGGCGGCGAGGAGGCGGGCCCTGATGGCGTGGCTGCTCGCAGCATGGCGGAGACCGACCTGTTCTCCCCGCTGGAGGAGGGGGCTGAGGATGCTGGTGCTGACGTGGCGGACACGCGGAGGAGTCTCAAAAAGAATGGCAAGAAGTGCAAGAAGGGCAAGAAGGGGAAGAAATGCAAGAAGGGGAGGAAGGGCAAGTGAAACGTTGCTGGCAGGGAGGTAACATCCTTAGTAGGCTTGAGAAACGGGTATGAAGTGCTCTCTGGAGTTCTCTGGAATTTCCAATATGACTTCACATTTGACAGTACAATTTTATATAGCACATTCACAGATCGAGTCGCACTCCCAAGTCGCGACACTCTGAATTTCTCAATGGTAACCCAACCCTTTGAAATGAACCTGCCGTGAAATTCAGAGAATTATTGCGGTACGGGATTGGACGGCGAGCTTGGTTACGGGGCTGAAATTTCGTCGGTGTTGTTGGCGAAGTCGGCGAGCGGTCGGAACTTCGGTGTTCTGCGTTTCGTAATTTTCGTGGGTGGGTTTGACTTGGGCTGCTTGTCGGAACTTTGTCGCCCAACTGCAGGTTGAGGCGCTTGACCAATCTGGACTATAGGTGAGGTGGCGCTTGACTTCCGCCCACTTGTATTGCAGTTGGCAGCACTCGGCTGCTGCACTGTTACATTACTTCCCCCTCCGAGTGGCGTCGTCCCCGGTGCCAAACCGCGGCTGGTCAAGTATCGATTCACAGCAGTTGCGGCACGGTCAAGGTGGCTCTCGGGTTCCCATGAGTCTTCACTAGCCGGCTGATCTTTCCAATGAACGAGGAACTCAAGACCATGAGGTGTGTCACGGTGAGCAGCGATAGATGCGACCTCAAACAGGCCGGGGCTGCCTTCGAACATCGGTGGCAGTTGGTGTGTGGCTGGATGGTCGTGTGAAGGTGCTCGGAAAGGGCGGAGGCGCTGGACATGGAAGACGGGGTGAATCTTCATATAGCTCGGCAGTTGGAGTCGGTAGTTGACTGGTGAGAGGACTCGGGTGATGGTGAACGGGCCAATGAAGCGAGGGGCGAGTTTTCTGGTTGTGCCTTTGCGTAGGAGAGGTAGGTGGTCAGTGGAGAGTAACACTTGATCGCCAACCTGGAAGTGGATATCTTTGCGGTGAGAGTTGGCATAGTGGGTCTGTTTGGCTTGTGCTTTGAGGATGGAGGTGAGAGCGGCATCAATGGCTGATTCAAGTGAAGTGAGGAACTCAAAGGGTGCTGGTGCGTGGGAGAGGTGGGAGGGTGGGGTCGTTGGGAGGCGTGGGTGCTGTCCGGTTGCAAGGTAGAAGGGTGGCTGACCGGTGGAAAGGTGGGGTGTGCTGTTGTATGCGAGTTCGATGGAGGTGAGGTGGAGGTCCCAATCTGTTTGACGAGCGGTAAATTGTGCACGAAGGGCGTCTTCAAGCGTGCGGTTCATCCGTTCAGTTTGCCCGTCCGTTTCAGGGTGATATGCAGTAGAAAACTTCATCCGGGTTCCGTGAAGCTTGAAGAGGCTCTGCCAAAAGTTGCTCAAGAAGGGAGGGTCGCGGTCTGAAATGATGGCGGATGGGAGACTGTGTAGGCGGACTATGTGATCGAAGAAAAGGCGGGCTGTTTCAGGTGCGGTGACGGTTGTGTGGATGGGAATGAAGTGGCTCATTTTGGAGAGTCGGTCGACGACGACTAGGATAGCGTTGTAGCTGCGGGGTGTGCGGGGCAGATCCATGATGAAGTCCATGGTGACTTCATCCCACACTTTGGTAGGTGGAGGGAGGGACTGAAGGAGTCCGTAGCGGTTGGTGGTGCGTGCTTTGAGTTGTTGGCAGGTTCGGCAGGTGCGTATGAAGTCACGCACATCGGCATGCATGTGTGGCCAATTGTAGTCGTTGGAGAGGTGAGCATACGTCTTCTCAACACCGAAGTGGCTGCCGGTAGCGGTGTCGTGGTATTCAGAGAGTAGCAGCTGCCGTAAGGAGCGATCAGCAGGGACACAAATGGTATTCGTAACGTTGTTGTACCAAAATGGGTCTTCAAATGAGTAGGACGGGTCCTCGGGTGCTTGCTTGACAAAAAACAGGTCACGTTTGTAGGCGCGTTGAAACTTCGTGATGAAGGCATCATCCCAGGTGATGCTGCTGGTTCCATGGAGTTGCAAGGGTGGGTTCGGAGTTTGAGGTGGAGGTGATGAGGGGGGGCTGGTTGGGGAGTATTGGGGCTGGTCGGTGGGTGGTGGGGCTGGTGGCGGTGGTCGGGACAAGACGTCGGCTGGATTGAGCTTTCCGGGGCGGTAGATGATCTGAAGTGATGGGAAAAACTGTTCCAAGAACTCAGTCCATGGGGCTTGGCGGCGGCTGAGCACGAGCTGTGTTTTCAAGTGTTGAAGAGGGCGATGGTCGGTGTAGACGGTGACGGGCTGCAGCTCCACGTAACAGCGCCATGTCTTGATTGCGTGGGCAATGGCAAGGAGCTCCCGGTCGTGTGTTGGGTAGTTGCGCTCTGCGAGTTGAAGCTTGCGTGACTCGAATGCAAGTGGCTGCATCCCATGGCCGTGGTCTTGGCAAAGAATGGCACCAACAGCGACATCGGAGGCATCGATCCATATGAAGTATGGGCGCGATGGGTCAGCAACGGTGAGGACCGGAGCAGAGGTGAGTGCTGATTTGATCGAGCTGAAGGCGGTCTGCTGCGGTACTCCCCATTGAAAGGCTGCACCTTGGCGAAAGAGGTCAGTCAACAGAGCGCATATGTGGGAGAAGTTGAAGATGAACTTTCTGTAATATTTTGCAGCTCCGGAACTTGCGATGAAACTTTGCAGCTCCGCTACCGTGCGTGGTGCTGGCCAATCAGCAAGGCACTGGACCTTTGCGGGGTCCATAGCAATGCCTTTGGAGGTGATGACATGGCCAAGAAAGCCGATGCTGGAACGGGCAAAGGTGCACTTGGACAGCTTGGCGTAGAGGCGGTGTTGGCGGAGCGTGTCAAGGACGATGCGTAGGTGTTGAGCGTGTTCGTCGAGTGACTTGCTGAAGATGAGGATATCATCGAGGAATACGATGACAAAGCGGTCGAGAAAGGGCCCGAAGATGTCGTTCATGAGGCCCATGAACGTGGCTGGAGCGTTGGTGAGGCCTAGCGGAAGTACTCGGAACTCGAAGTGGCGGTAGCGGGTTCGAAATGCCGTCTTGCAGATGTCTTCTTCAGCGAGGCGAATCTGGTGGTAACCGGATCGTAGGTCGAGTTTGCTGAACGCGGTCGCTTCTCCAAGCATGTCGAAGAGTTCTTCAACACGGGGCAGCAGGTACTTGTTTTTTTATTGTGATGGCGTTGAGTGCACGGTAATCAGCACAAAGGCGTAGATCTCCTTCTTTCTTCCTTGTGAAAAGCACGGGGTCAGCATAGGGCGAGGTGCTTGGACGAATTAAGCCTTTGGCGAGTAAGTCATCAAGTTGGCGTCAAAGCTCTGTAAGTTCCACCGTGCTCATGCGATAAGTAGGGCGGGTTGGTGGTGTAGATCCAGGGACGAGACGGATGCTATGGTCGATAGCGCGGTCGGGTGGAAGTTCGGCAGGAAGATCTTCGAGGAAGGCGTCGATGTAGCCTTGGAGTAACTTCTGTATAGGTGATGGGAGAGAGTTGGGTGATGATTCAGATTCGGGAGCGGTGAAGATGACTAGGAGATGATGAGGAGGAGGTGGTGAAGGAGGGGTGGGGGCTGATGGATTGACAACTTCAGAGAAGGGGCGGAAGAGGTAACGGCGTAGCTGCTGGGTTGGGTGGGGTGGAGAAGGAGGAGGTATGTTGGCGGGGGAGCCGGGTGGTGTTGGCTGATGCGCGGGGGCTATGCAAGGAGGAGGGAGAGGGAGGATATGGGAGGCTGGAGATGGGGCAGGTTGGGGTGGATGGGTTGATGAAGCTGAAGTGGTTGGGGATGACCATGGGCGGCGGTAGGAGCGGGATGGGAGGTCGTAGTTGCCGACGGTGACAGTTGCGTTACACCAATAAATTCGCGGTCCAAGCTGGTACAACCACGGTCGTCCGAGCACGCCTTCGTAGCTGCCGAGGTGCAGTTGCTCGAACTTAACTATCGCCTCTAGACTTCCGAACAAGCAGTGCACGGGGAGGAAGGTAGGTCCGCAGCGCCTTCGAGTACCATCTGCCACGATCACATCCTGTGGGTTGCTGTGGGGATCTTCGGGGAGAGAAAGTTCAGCAGCAATTGAGGGAGAGAGGAAATTTGCTGAAGCGCCGGTATCGAGTAGAAAGTCAACGTAGCGGTTCTTTATTTTTGCCCATAGAATGATGGCGGGGAATGGAGTGTTTGATGTGGTGTAGAGTTCAGAGGTGCCGATGAACAATGGGGTCGGGAGAAGCGGGGCATGCGATGCGCCAGAGGTCTACCCCACTGCTACTTGCGCTGCCCATTTTTTGGAGACCTTCCCAAGTTGTGGCGGTTCGGGCAGTAGCGTTTGATGTGGCCGACTTTCCCGCACGAGTAGCACGTGAGCGTGGACTGGTTGCGTATGCGTTGGTCCACTACACCGAGCTCCATGGGAGTAGGACCGTTGGTGCGGATGGTAGTTCCAGCCACTGTGTGCTGTCCGGTTCGCCCTTGGAATCGCTGGTAGGATGCAAAGTTGATGGTGTCAAAACGCTCGGCGACACGGATCATCTCGTCAAGTGTAGTGGCGCCACGAAGTTCGACCTCCGTGCGGATTTTCGGTTTCAGCCCCCTCTTGAATTTATCCATCTGTTCAGCAGCAAGGATGCCGGGTATCTCAAGCACGAGCTCGCGGAAGCGATTGATGTATTCAGCGACCGAGCGGTGTTGGCGTAGTTCGGCAAGATTGTCACGTGCGTGATCGATGGCGTTGACTGGTTCGAAGTTAATTAAGAGTGATGCAGAAAATTCTTCCCAATTTGATATTGCGCTGTGGCAGCTCTGCCACCAAGTAGCCGCTGCACCCCTCAGCATCATGCCGGCGTGCCGAGCCCACTCCGCTCGGTTGACATGGCAAAGGGAGAGGTATTCCTCCATTTGGAAAATCCACCGTCGCATCGGTAAGCGACGTTTTCCAGGGATGAACGGTTCAGGTTCGGGTGCTTTAGGTCGTGCAGAAACCACAGCAGGTGCTGGCGTCGGCACCTGTGTGCCCAGGAGTCCACGTTCCTGGAGTTC